GTTTGATTATTCAATATGATGCTCAACTATTTTCTTGCTGTGCCCCCTTAATTCTTCACTCCCCTTTGGTTGGAAACTCTGCAGACATACAGATATGTGGTGATGATCATTTTCAAGTTGAGATGCTGCTGGACAAGGGGCCAGTGATCTCAGTGGTGAGTGCAACCTGGTGTGGTTTAGTATGCAGGAAGTGGTTTTGGATTGACTCTGGTTTGAGTGGAGGGTGGGAGGCCGGTCAGGAAGAGTATTAGAATGGTTGCGTCTTTTGTCCCTCCCACCCCACCCCAATTCTGTGTCTCTTAACAAACTGTTTTTACTTATGTTTCTGTTTTAGTGAGGGGTCAATAACCAGAAATGCAACTGATCCCCTTGCTCCGTAGCACCTCCCTGACATTTTGAGTATTTTCTGGCTTAGATTGCCAGCAGCTACAGTTGTGTTGTTTCTTTGTTCTGACACTGTCTTTACAGATTTACATTTCTCCATAAATATTAGCCTCCCAGCATCTTTGTAAATCTCTGCCTTCCAATCCACACTTAAACCCTCAGGGTCAAAGATTGTTTTATATTAATTTTGACTCTGATCTTTCAAAGCACTAATGCTGATTGATTCTAACTGTACCATGGGAGATAGGAAGAGATTCTATTCTGTTAATTGTTGAATATCAATTGCTCCTGGGTGTAACCAAGCACTGAGTTCTTTGAATATGCTTGTATGAAAATCTTCCATATGTGCTGATTCTTAAACTGAATTTGGCTTAAACAATACTGTAATCATGTTGATCGTTAGCTAACTGGGAGGTGCTGTGAGCCCTAGCCTGAGGTTGATGGGCTGGGAATGGGGAAGAATGGTGACTTTGGTGCATGCATGCTTTTGTTCATTCTGTCGCCTTCAAAATATATGCTCTCGCTCATTCTTTCTCTCATTCACAAAGTACTCAGCAAACTTTGTTTTGCCTGCTGTGCACTGTGCTCTGTCACCCTCACTAACGCCAGCTTTCTGTTGCTCACTCTGCACCCATTCTCTGTCTTGCCATCACTACTACCTGCTGTGCACCAGTGTTCCCTCTCATTCTGTGACTCACTCTGCACCCACAAATTCTCCATTCTACCATAAGATGAAGGAGTAGAAGTAGGCCGTTCAGCCCATCAAATCTGCTCTACTAATCTATTCGTCCTCAACTTGACTTTCCTGCATTTTCCCCAGAACCCTTGATTCACTTGCTGATTAAAGATCTGTCTATTTCTGTCGTGAATATTTTTAACAACCCAGTGTTGAATTCTGTAAATTCACTATCTTCAGATGACATTTCTTCTTGTCTGTTTTAAATAGGATGAGGAGAAATTTCCCCTGAGCAGTGTATCCTTTATGCACCCACATTTTCTCAATCTCAATTCCCCACTTTCCAGACTGCACTCTGTCTCCCTGTGCACCTTACAAGTTTCTTTAGCTTTGTTACAATTAACTAATTTCGCTGGTGCTGCTCATTGTTCCTGTATAGCATCTCAAGATGTTCTCTGTGATTGCTGTGGTTTAGCTATCAGAGAGGCAGCATGATCTTCCACATGGTTTGAGATATATGCCTGCATTTTCTAATAAATCCCTCAGAAAACCATTTCAGCCCAGACAGCGACATGATGATGCAAACTGATTCCAAATTGTGCTCCAGGTTGTTTTTCTCCAATCTGTCCCTTTGACACATTGAATTCATTAGCAATGATTAATTGTTGTAGTCATAAGTTGTCTTTGAATGTATATCTGTGGATCTGACATAACATGATGTCTTCTGTTTTGTGTTAAAGATTTGTTGCCTTTTCTCCCAAACAAAAAGCAAAATACCTCCGATGCTGAAAGGGAAATGGTGACTGCAGTCAGATGGACAGGCACCTGACCCTGAATACTTTCCAGGAGCTGGATGATAAAAGTTTGATAGCATTTACAGAGGAAAATAACCCATGAGGTCATAGTTTTAAAATTAGATAGAGGCCATTCAAAGCTCTTTTAACACGGGAGTAGAAATCAGAAACACCTAAAAGGCTGTGGATGTTGAAGTTGATTGAAATTTGCAAATTAAAATGCTTACATTTTTGTTTGGGTGAGGATATAAAGGGATATGGAACAAAGATAGGTAAATAGATTGAGGTACAGCTCAGCAAGTCTGGCAGCATCTGTGAAGAAAAAAACAGAGTTAATGTTAACGATGACAGATCATCAGACGCCATTTCTGCCACTTCCAGCGAGATGCCACCGCTAGACACAATCCCCTCCCCTCCCTTGTCCACCTTCCGTAGGGATCGTTTCCTCTGGAACACCCTGGTCCACTCATCCTTCACTCCCAACAGCCCCACGGCACTCTCCCCTGTAACCGGTGAAAGTGTAACACCTGCCCATTTACCTCCTCCATCCCCAGTATCCAAGGGCCCGAACATACCTTCCAGGTGAAGCAGCATTTCACCTGCACTTCCCAGAATCTAGTCTACTGCATTCGCTGCTCACAATGTGGTCTCCTCTACGTTGGGGAAACGAAGCGTAGACTTGGTGACCGCTTTGCACAACATCTACGTTCTGCTCGCAAAAAAGACCCTGAGCTACCCGTTGCCTGCCACTTTAATGCACCACCCTGTTCCCTGCCTTGCAGTGTTCCAGCGAAGCTCAATGCAAGCTGGAGGAACAACACATCATTTTCCGCGTGGGGACCCTACAACCCTCCGGACTCAATATTGAGTTCAATAATTTTAGGGCCTAAACTCTCCCATGTCCCAGCTCCCTAACCCACGCACCAGGCTTTGTTACCACATAGCCTGCCACTACACACCCCCTGTTGTTAGTCACTAACAGTCCCCATTAACAACCATTCACCCTCCCAGCCTGATCGTTGGCAACTCCTTTGTCTGTCCAACTGTTCTTCTCTCTCTTTAGGCCCTAGCCTATCGCTTACTCCCTACCCCACCCACCTCCCTATTTTCTGCATATAAACTGACATTTTCCCAGCCACCATCAGTTCTGAGGAAGGGTCACCGGAGCCGAAACATTAACTGTTTTCTTCTTCACAGATGCTGCCAGACCTGCTGAGCTTTTCCAGCAACTTCTGTTTTTGTTCTTGATTTACCGCATCTGCAGTTCTTTCTAAAGAAGGGTCCAGACCCGAAACGTCAGCTTTCCTGCCCCTCTGATGCTGCTTGGCCTGCTGTGTTCATCCAGCTGTACACCTTGTTATCTGCAGTTCTTTCGTTTTTTTTTTAGATTGAGGTACGGATCAGGCAAGATATAATTCACTTGGTAGAAAGGTTCAAGGACCTAAATGACCTTGGATTCCTATGAGGGGAAAATGGACACCATACATTGGACATGCACAAATATGAAGGTGGCTCAGTGTAACTGACAGGAAAATGACAGGCCTGGACAGAGTGGATGAGGAGATTAAGTTGCCACGAGTAGGAGAGACTGAATGAAAGACAAACCTTTAGAACTGAGATGAGGAATTTCTTCAGCCAGAGGGTGCTAACCCTGTGGAACTAAATGTTGCAGAACGCTGTGGAGACCGAGTTGTTGAGTCTATTTAAGGCAGAGATAGATAGCTTCTTGATTAGTAACGAGAGAAGGCAGGATAATGGAGTTGAGAAACATATCAGCCATGATTGAATGGTGCAGTAGATTCGAGGGCCTAATGGCCTCATTCTGCTGTTATATTGAACAGTGTTATGGTTACAACTTAGAGATATTTTGGCGTTTTTGGTCTGCACTGGATCTGTGAAGGAGCAGTTTACCCAGTACTGCTCCCCTGTCTTATGCCTGCACATTCTCCCTTTTCACAAAATCAAATTCCCACTTAAATGTCTTGATTGAACCTGCCTCCACCTGCACTGTAAGGCCGTGCAGTCCAGATCCTAACCATCTGATGCATGAAAATATTTTCCCTCCTGTCACCATTGCTTCCTTTCCCAACTGCCTTAAATCTGTGACTTCTAGTTCTCAATCTTTTCACCAATAGGAAAGATTTCTCCTTGTTCTGTCCAGAATCCTCATGATTTTGAAGATCAGAATCTGCTCTTGACGTTCTCTTTGAGGCAAACGGTCCCAATATCTCAGGTGTATGTCAGTGAGGTCTACCATCGCTGGAACCATTCTCCTGAATCATTTCTGCACTGTCTCCATTGCCTTCCTATCCTTTTGAAGATGTGGCACTGAGAACTGAGTGTGTACTGCAGCTAAGGCCAATCAGTGGTTTAATTGGGCTGACCCAACTTCTATGCATTTGTGATCTATTCCTCTTTTAATAAAGCCTATGATGCTGTATGATATATCAATCACACTCTCAACCTTTCCTACCACCTTTTGATGATTTATGGTGATATATAGCCAGGACACTCCTTTTCTCCTTTTACAATTGCCCCCTTTTATTGTCTCTTCTAATTCTTTTCAAAGTGAATCACTTCACACTTGCCTTTCCTAATTTACCATTTCTACTGATTTGTCTTCGGCTCTGCACTATTCTCGCTATTCAGCTTTGCGTCATCTATAGATTTAGAAATTTGGCTGAATGATCCCTTCCTGCTCCTAAGCAGTTGGATTAGCGTCAGCCTTGGTTCCAATCCCAGCAACAGAGTTTTGAGCACTAAAATCTGGTCTGGCCTTCCTGTGTGATATCGATAGTTGTGGTATGATAAATTGACTGTTTTCTGTTTCTCATAGATGTAAAGATCTGATGGTACTAGTTTGAAGAAGGACAGGGTAATGATTGTGGACAATATTTATTCCTCAATTAACATTAAACAATAATTTATCATTACCACATTGCTGTTTGTGGGATATTGAATGATGTGTTTTCTACATTACAACAGGTACCACATTTCTGAAGTACTTCGTTGACTGTTGTAGAACACACTGATATTGTGAAATGACTATATGCTTGCACGTTTGTTGTTATAGTTAGATATTTGGAATGTTTCCCTCGGCTAGTTATTAATGCTGGGAATAACGGGGCAATGCTTTCTGTTTACAGGTGGCTGAGGTGCTGAAGAAGCTGCAGCCAGATATGCTGCTCACCCTGGTATGTACCTCTGCAGTGGGAAATGGGACAACCGAGGGGGAGGGGTCAATGTGGTCAGGCTCGAGGCCATTCAGCTTGGTCAAGGTTCACAGAGATTGGAGGGCAGCTTCCCTTGTGCCTTAGTGGTATGGCTTTGAACTGAACTGCCGAGGAGGTGCAGGTCCTCTCAACTTGACAGATGAGCAGAATCAACAAGGAAATCGTTGTAAATGTACATTTGTAATGGGTGGTCTTAATCAGGATAACGTTGTCAGTCTGATGAATATAAATTTTGATGCTGCTAAATAACATCCTCTGCAAACCTTTTATTATAATGCTTTTTATATTGTTTAAACGTAGCTGGGATAAGCACTCCCATCTGAAAACGTGTCGGTGTAGTGAAGAACTGAGGCTGAGTGGGTTCATAATTATTAATGTTGTGTAGAGCAGCTGATTGGATACTTCTTGTGCTGCGCTACTGCCAAATAAATCTTTTCTTATTATGTAAAATGCCACAAGTGTTTGGAATCTGCTGTTCTTTGTTATTTTCCCCATGAAAACTCCAAACCAGTTTATCCTCCCTCCCGCCTCTCTGCCCTCCATTACAGCAATTACTGAGACTTTAAAATATATTCAGTAAATACAGAATTAAATGCATATTTGTTATAATTTCAGCGTGGCGTGAACACGGATAGTGGGCACACTACTCGAGAAGCTGCTTTTGATGGAATCAGTGAGTAAGTGCTGTTTCATTGCCTCAGCTCTTTTTTCCATATTAGGACTCCTAATGTACAATTAACTGATTAAAGTTAATAATGTTTCTGGATTGACTGTCTGCAGTCTGCCAACTAGTTGTCTGATTAAGACAATTAAGATTAAGAGCAGTCTTTCCTGATGTTAAGGGAACATTTCAACCTTCACAATTACAACTGAGATCAAAGGGTCCTTGCACTGTAGTGGTAATGTCCCTACCATTTTGAGCCAGGAAACCTGTGTTCAAATCCCACCTGCTCCAGACTGTGTGATAACATCTTTAAGCAGGTTGATTAGAAAATATCTACCACTGAGATCATTGCACTGACTTGTGATTTTTAACAATCACTTGGAGTGGCATGCTTGACTCCCAAAAGTTGTGGGTTCAAATCTCACTTCAGATTTGAACACTTAAATGAGGTGGTGTTGCTTTGTCAAATGTTGTCCTTAAGAAACATTAAAGAACTGAAGAGTAGAAAGTTCTCATTAAAATGAGCCTTCCTTCATAAGAACATAAGAACATAAGAACTAGGAGCAGGAGTAGGCCGTCTGGCCCTTCGAGCCTGCTCCGCCATTCAATAAGATCATGGCTGATCCTTTCGTGGACTCAGATCCATTTACCCGCGTTCTCACCGTATCCCTTAATTCCTTTATTGTTCAAAAAAAATCTACCTTTTTTTTAAAAACATTTACTGAAGTAGCGTCAACTACTTCACTGGGCAAGGAATTACATAGATTAACAACCCTGTGGGTGAAGAAGTTCCTTCTCAATTCAGTCCTAAATCTGTTCCCTCTAATCTTGAGGCTATGCCCTCTTGTCCTAGCTTCACCTGCCAGTGGAAACATCCTCTCTACTTCTATCTTATCTATTCCCTTCATAATTTTATATGTTTCTATAAGATCCCCCCTCAAGCTTCTGAAAATCTTGCTCTGCCAAAACATTCAAAAATTGATCAATTATTTTACTGCAGAATCTTGCTGTGCATGTTTCCATTTCTGTACATAAGTGGACTGCAATTCAAACATAATTTGTGGTATATAAAATATTTTGGAACATCTAGAAGGGATCATAATTCCATGTTGGTTAATCTTTAAAAGGAACCTTCAGCTGGCAGTACCCAAAAGTTCAGGTATTAGATTGATTGTAAAAGGTAATGCTACTGATAAGGCCAGCAAGCCTTAATACTTAGATACTTGTTTATGATGTCCTCGTTGTTTACAAAATTTAAAGAACCTAGAATTCTACAGTACAGGAGGATGCCATTTAGCCCATGTTTGTCCCAAAAGAACTATCTAGCTAGTCCCACTCTCCAGCCCTATCTCGGTAGCCCTCTAACTCCACTTCCAAACATGCGTATCTCTCTTGAAATCTCCGATGGAATCTGCCTCCACCACTCTACCAGGCAGCACATTCCAAATCCTAACAACTGAGCAAAGAAGTTTCTCCTTCTCACATTCCTAGCTCTCTTGCTGACAAGCTTAATTGTGATCCCTAGTTACTGTCATACCAAATAGAATATCCTTCTTTACCCTGTCAAAATTGTTCATAAATTTTGAACACCTCCATAAGGTCACCTCTTAATCTTCTCTGCTCCAAGGAGAATCTCTCTAATTGTTCCTTATATCTAAAATCTGTGATTCCTGGTATCATTCTAGCAAATGCCCTTTGAGCTCTCTCCAGGACTTTGCAGTTTGAGTTTATAAAACTGCAAAGGGAAGTGGGGTAGATGGTTTAACAGTAACAAGGATTAGGCAGTGGGCTGGGACTGTCTTAAAGAAGGAAAGATGTTTTCTTTCTTTTGCTAGCAGCAGTTCAGAGAAGCTTCACTCGGCTGATTGCTGAGGTGAAGGTGTCCTATGAGGAAACCAGGTTGGACCTTTTTGTCATTGGAGTTTAGATGAATGAGAGGTCTTCTTGTTGAAACATAAGATTCAAAGGGGTTTGACAGGTTGGTGCTGTGAAGATGCTCCCTCTCCTGGAGAAATCTATGACCGGGGGTACAGTTTAAACATAAGGGGTCTCCCATTTAACATCAAGATGAGGCAATGTTCATTCTCTGAGTGTGCAGTCTTTGGAAGTCTTCCTGCTAGAGAGCAGTGCACGGTGGGTCACTGAATATATTCGCAGCTGGGTTAAATATCTGACAACAAGAGAGTTATTAGGGGAGGGTGGGGGTGGGTAGGAAGGTGGATTCGGGGCCATAACCTGATCAGCCATGACCGTATTAAATGGCAGAGCAGGCACAAAGGGCCAACTGCTGCTCCTATTTCGTATGATATTAAATGATTAACGAAAGTGTCTTTTACTGTGCTTTTCCATGAGGAATACACCATTCAGCTCCTTAAGCCTTTTCAATTATTCAGTTGGATCATTGACCTATATCTTAAAACCATCTCCCACCTTGCTTTTGTAACCCTTATTGCCCTTGCCTAACCAATCTAATAATCTCTGTTACATGGGACATAGAACAGTACAGCATAAGAACAGGCCATCCGCTGTACCCGGTGTGGCTTCCTCTACATTGGGGAAACCAAGCGGAGACTCGGGGACTGCTTTGCAGAACACCTACGCTCGGTTCGCAACAAACAACTGCACCTCCCAGTCGCGAACCATTTCAACTCCCCCTCCCATTCCTCAGACGACATGTCCATCCTGGGCCTCCTGCAGTGCCACAACGATGCCACCCGAAGGTTGCAGGAACAGCAACTCATATTCCGCTTGGGAACCCTGCAGCCCAATGGTATCAATGTGGATTTCACAAGTTTCAAAATCTCCCCTCCCCCCACCGCATCCCAAAACCAGTCCAGCTCGTCCCTGCCTCCCTAACCTGTTCTTCCTCCCACCTATCCCCTCCTCCCACCTCAAGCCGCACCTCCATCTCCTACCGACCAACCTCATCCCGCCCCCTTGACCTGTCCGTCCTCCCTGGACTGACCTATCCCCTTCCTAACTCCCTACCTACACTCACCTTTCCTGGCCCCATCCCCGCCTCTTCGACCTGTTTGTTTCCTCTCCACCTATCCTCTCCTCTATCCCTCTTCTATCCGCCTCCCACTCTCTCCCTATTTATTTCAAAACCCCCTTCCCCTCCCCCTTTTCTGATGAAGGGTCTAGGCCCGAAACGTCAGCCTCTCTGCTCCTATGATGCTGCTTGGCCTGCTGTGTTCATCCAGCCCTGCACCTTGTTGTCTTCTGGCCCACAATGTGTGTGTGCTGACCATGATGCCATTCTGAACTAATCCCATCTGCTTGCACATGGTCCGTATCCCTGTATCCTCAGCCTGTTCATGTGTCTGTCTAAATGCCTGTTAAACGTTGCTCTCGTATCTGTTTGAATTTTCAGTTGACACCCAGCTTCAAATAAGTTCATATGTTTGCAGAAGAATTTCAGAATTTCTCAACATTTGTTGTGAAGAAGTTCTTCTCAATTGTTTTATCTGCTTAATCAACTCCAGTATTCATCTTGAGCATCTTGATTGGATTATTTCTTGGTCTTCTGTCTTTTGAGGGGTACAAGCCTGCCCGATGCAACCCTCATCATTTCACTCTCTTTAGTCCTGGTATTATTCTGCAGCATCTGCTCTGCAATAATTTGTCTGGAGTACTGTACTGTTTGGTCACCTTATTTGAAAAAGGATATAATTGCATTAGAAATAGTTTCACAAGGTTCACTTGACCCATTTCTGGGATGAAGGGCTTATCTTATGAAGTGCTGAACTGGTCAGGTCAATAGCCGTTGGAATTTAGAAGAATGAATGAGAAGTTACCTGAGGGGTCTGGAGTTTGTCTCCTCCACAAGGCAAACAAACTAGAGAACACAGTTCAAAACTAACAACTCTTTCATTTGAGAGAGGTGACAATTCTTTTGGTTGACTTGGAAATATACTGTCACCCTTTCTGTGTCACTGGGTCAAAATCCTGGAAATCCTTCCCTAACAGTATTGTGGGCGTATCTACCCCAGGTGGACTGCAGAGTTTCAAGAAGCTGCTCACCGCCACCTTCCCAGGGGATATGACAGATGAACAATAAATGTTGGCCCAGCAGGACTGCTCACATCCTGTGAAAGAATAAATTAAGCAATGTTACCACTATGTTGTTACTCCCATGTCACTGCAGACTCCAGGAAAGAGGAACAAGGACAATAGAGTGGGGACGAAATCCAGCCCTGAAAAAGTCGTGCACCTCCGGAAGTATATATTGACTTTCACGTGGGAATGCAGATTCAGGATGAGCTGTTGTAGCCATAGAATTTCAGTGGCTGGTCCAGCTTAGTTTCTGTTCAATAGTAACTACTTGAATGTTGATAGTGGGGATTCAGTGATAGTAATGTCATTGAACGTCATGAGGCGATGGTATATTCTCTTTTTGGAGATGGTCATTGCCTTACATTTGTGTATCACGTATGTTATTTGCCAATTATCAGCCAAGCCTGATTATTTTCTTGCTGCGTATCGGTGTGAACTGCTTCAGCATTTGAGCTGTCATGACAGTGGGGAACATTGTGCAATCATCGGTGAACATCCCCCATTCTGACCTTATGATGGGGGGGAAGGTCATTGATGAAGCAGCTGAGGATGGTTGGGCCGAGGACACTACCCTGAGGAACTCCTGAGGTGACTGACCTCCAGCAACCACAACCATCTTCCCATGTGACTCCAACCAGTAGAATTTTCCATCTGATTTCTATTCACTTCAGTTTTGCTTGGTTAGTAGATGAGTAACACAGAGGGTCAGACTAATTTTTGAGACTCACCAGCTCAAATCCCATCAATGCAGGTGCAGAAATTTGCATTCAATTATTAACTGTAATCTAGACTAATCTAGTCTTATTAATGATCAAATGCATGTGTTTCTGTAAAATTCCATCAGGGTCACTCATGTCCTTTAGGGAAGAAAATCTGCCTGGTTTGTCCTAACAATGTGGTTGATTCTAACAAAATGTTACTGAAACATGTAGCTCTGTGGGAGTAACTTCACCACAT